AAAAAAAAAAAAAAAAAAAAAAAAAAAAAAAAAAAAGGAATTGGTTCTCCCTTCAAAGAAAAAAAAAAAAAAAAAAAAAAAAAAAAAAAAAAAATCTGCCCACGTGCTGGAGCACAAAAAAAACAGCACAGGTATGAGTGGCAGGAAGGAGGGAGGCCACATCATTCATGATTTGCCTTTTGCAGAAGATTTTGGAGCTGCAGGGTGGCTTTCCATAGAGCTTTCCAGGAACTGCCAGCTGGAATGCCAATGCAGAGAAGCCATGCTTTGCACAGAGACATATGTGCTCTCACACACATGCATAAAGCCTCTGAACTCACTGCAGGAAAGGTTTTACCCCAACAGCAAGGTAAGTAAGGTGTGGAAATTACCTTAATGTAAAATCCATGTGAAGATCAGCCCCTTTGATTTTACCACGGTAGCAAGGTGATCCCACTCACAGCTGGGACAAATGCTCCTGCTTCCACTTCACTATCTGGTGGCAAAAGCTATTTTAAATTCATAGACAGAAAAAAATGACAGAGCTGAGAGGCTGAAGTTAGAGAGAGCCAAGAGTAGGAAGTGCTGCACATTGTATCCTAGAAACAGCTTTCTGTTCCTCGGTCCTTTTCAGTTTTTCATTGGAGAAGGGAGGTTGGAAGAAGTGGTGCAGCTAAAGTAGATATCAGCTGAATTTTTGCCAAGCGGTCATTAATCCCTAAAATTTCAATCTTATTTTCATTAAAATTTAACAGCAGAGACACGTCCCAAGACATGCCTAGAGAAACACAGCTGAGTTTGAGCTTCAGGAACGTGTTTATGTGTACATGGGTGGGAAAAAACAATAGCTGGATGGAACAGCCTGAGACAATCCCTCACCTACAGTACAAAAGCATGTGATTATATCATGTGCTGTTTAGCTGTAGTTTACACCAAGAAAACACATATGTGAAAGACTGAACACATTATGATTCAGGAAGCATCTCTTTACCCAGATGAAGATGAGGATGGTTTCCTCCAAAGAAAAAAGAATGGATTGTTTTCCTCTTTGTAAAAGAGAATCTCATCATGATTTAATGGTCCTGTGAGAAAGAGTGCTTTGCCTTTGAGAGTCAAACAAAGCTGAGTGAAAATCCAGAAGATTTAAAAGTAACCTTGAAATGATATGCAGATGCTGGTTAAGATGTAGACATGCCTGAAAAAATATCCAGCCCCTCCTTATAAACCGTCTACCTTCTAAAACATATATCAAGCTTGAAATGCAGCAAAATTTCTGCATATCTTTAGTGAAATCTAAAGTGACAAGGAATTCACCTGTTTTCTCTCCCCTTTGGAAGCAAGTCAAAATTGCTTTGGTGAGAGGAGCTAGCATGTTTGCAAGTTTATATCATATGCAGTGGGGAGCCAGTGATTAAAAAGGCATCATTCTTTTGGGGTTTAGCTTTATCCAAGGCTGAACCTTCAAATAGAGATTATAGAGATTCCAGTATGTAGGAGGGGAGGAAAATCTAATTGAGGAAAAGGAGAAGACTGTAGCTTGCAAAATTCAGAGCTATTCCATCAAAGATAACTAGATCATCTTTTTCATAGCAGGAATTAGAAGTGACAGATGGTCTTGCTGCTGAACCAAAGGTGTAGAAGTCCTGAGATTCAATCTGTAATTCTGGCTCTGAAACAGATTTCCTGTACAAGATAGAGTAAAAAAAGCAGCATTTCAGTAATGGCCGGTTTCTGCAGACTTCATCTGAAACAGATATAAACCCTGATTTTTAGAAGAGTGGTCTGCAAGCTGCAGTTTACTTTCAGTGGGAGGGACAATGAAAAGGCACTGTGGAAAAGACATTTTCTTTCTCACAGATTGGAATAAAAAAAAAAAAAAGGCTGAAAATTTAAAAATGCAAAAGCAGTGCCAGATCTTGAAAACTCTGACCAACAGTGTTTCTGAGTGGTGGGTTTATATCTGTGAAAAAGAGACATTTATTCCCTTTTAAAATTCCTGTGCATCCACAGGAAAAGATGACCTCAGACATGAGAAACAGCAGAGGTAACACCAATGACAATACTTAGAGGTAAGGCACCTTTTACATTTTCAATTACATAAGCCTGCCTTCAATTAAACCTATCAACTTTGTTCACATGAACTGAAATTGCCTATTATGGTGCTGAATTGCATTAAGCATTGAATTTGAATTTTATTTCTGTATGCAGATATATTTTTAGTTGGCTTATGCTTTTCACTCGTTTCTGAAAATGGCAAATTGACTTCACATTTTCACTAACATTAAAATAAATACCACCATAAAACTAGAACTCTCCAGCAACTCCGTGCTTTTGACCAGAAATTAAAGTTTAGCAAAAACGTGGATGAAATCAGTGCTGATATTTGCAGCCTCTGTGAAAATCTGCTCAGGTTGTGCTGTACAAGACTCAGAGGTCCCAAAATACTCACACACAGTCACAGCTGATGGGGTTGAGCAGGACATCCCTGCCCTGAGGATGCTGCAGCACCAAGCAGAGGAGGTGGAAGTGATTTCTGAGGCTCTCTGCTTGCTCCCATCCTGGTGCTTCAGGGGGAGGAGGAGGAGGAGGAGAGCTCCAGCTGACATGGAAAAGGAGCTTGGGAGAGGACAAGGAAGCGAGGGGATGGGGGGAGAAGCTCAAACTGCAGAGCAGAGGAATGGAAACCTCCAACGAGGACCAAAGGTTGTAGAGAGAAGGCAGCAACCGGCACAATAAATGTGCAAAATGAGTCAGCTGAGGAAAGATGGCACTGGGAAGAAAGTAAAAAACTAAACAGGAACCTGCACTTCTCTGTCCTCATCATGAATCACAACAAAAACCTCATGGGCTTCTCCATCGAGTTTCCAAATAACCTCCTGGCTGATCAGCCTGTTACCCTAATTGGTAAAGATCTCTACTTGGCATCTAAATTCTAAAACTGTTAAGGGAGCACAAAGGCATAAATTTAGCTGCAGATGATGGATTGTGTTTTATCATTTTTGTTGCATTTTAAAATGCAGTATTTTTTGGGGAAAGATAAGGTAGTGAAATCAAGTTCTGTAATAGTCTATGCTAGGATTAGAGGTTCTTGTGCAGATTTAATCTGACAAACCAAATGTGTATTTTGACACTGGCTTCATTCTTTAGGTATCTGAAAGTTACATGATCCCACATTATCATTTATACTGAAATATTTTCTTTCCTAGTTCATATGTTTTTCTGTATTTTCCAGTGTGAAGACTTTGCACAAATGGCATGTGAAATTCCTAAGACTTATTTGGTGAAAATTAGCTTCTACTGCTGGATTCCTTCTCTTCCACCTTCAAAAAACTTCCATGCACCTTCATATGTTTGCTGAATTCCAAAGCAAAAAAAAAAACCCAGAACAAAATTTCCCTTATTTATTTTTGCAGCAATTAAAAAAATCTATCTGTGCAATTATTTGGAAACAATGCTCTTCAACAAGTCAAAAATTACACGATAAATGAACGGAAAATAGAAGTAGTCCTCTGCCTCCTCATGACACTTTGCTATATTGTCAGAAAGAAGCTGAGCATTTGCTGCCCTCAAGTGGTGTCCTATTTTTTCTTCCTATGGGCACTTAAAATGATGCTTCATCCCTTTAATAGCTTAAGTTCAGATCTGGGGTTTTTTGAAAGAAAATTGAAAGCTTGGAGCTAACAGACCTCAGCTTTGATTCACAAAACACGTGGTTTAAAATGTATAAATTATTTTCCTCTTTAAATATTAGAGAAATCTTTGGCCTTATTTTGGATATGCTTCATCTCTTCTCTACTGCATTGTAGAAAAGGATGCTGACATACACAACCATCCTAAGTGTGGATTCCAAAAGACCTAAATGTTGTTGATTTTGTGGCTTTGAGTTTTGGACTATGCAAGACAAACTGAAAAATACAGTCTGAGAAAAATGTTATTGCTTAAAAGGGCAATCGTAATGGGGAAAATTTAGTTTGTCATATCTTTATTGAAGATCATATCAAAGTACTGACAATGGGCTAAAAATGAGTCAGGGAAAATGGGACTCCTGTCACACTTCAGAAGTGGATTAAAACTGACTCAGGAGCTAATTCAGCTGCAGCTCAGACAGCTGGGTCAGATTCTAACTCAGCTGAAATGAGCAATAGGAATTGTGTCTTCACACTGCATTACAAGAGAAAATACACTCTTTCCAAATATACTCCAAACAGAAACCTTCTGTAACAACACACATGCCTTGCTGCAATCTTCACCTACATTTCCAAATCAGCACCAATTCCTATTGACTGTGAAGCATCCAAGAGTTCCCTGGGCTGGAGTTTGTTTTATTCACCCCCTGAGCCCAGGAGCACCAAGGAAGTGCAGAGCTGCCCTATTCATCCATCAGGCTATTAACCTGTGCCACCAGAGCATCCAGGGCCCAGGGTGGTGTTTCAGACAGGCACAAAGCAAGCAGATGGTGCCTCAAGGATAATACACACTCTTGGTTACAAGGAAATGCAACAATCAAACATGATGCAAAAACTGGGGAATAGGACTGGGACAAAAGGAATGAGGAGAGCAAGTTCCACATGGTCCCCTATGTCTTTATGCAATAAAAAAACATCTGCATATTAACATGAAATAACAGCTCTGGATGCATTTATATTTTTCCTCCCTCTCCAATTTTGTTCTAATGTCCCTGATTGATATGTTGCAATCCCATTGTGAAACCAGTAATTTTCTGAAATGTCTGAAAAATAGCAGGTGGGCATGACACGAAAAGGCTAAACACCATCATTTGGGACAGATTCCAAAGGAGATGTATATTGCACATACTACAGAGAAAAAAATAAGGAAGGGAAATGGAAAAGGGATAGTAAACAAAGCAGACTTTTCAATTTCTTTCTAAGATCATACATACCCCGAACTAGGAAAGCTGCATCCTCTTGGACTGCCACCTGGACAACACTTGCTCCTGACCCTCAGGAGCCTGGCTGGTGCCAAGGCAATGCCAGGGAGGCATTTTTGCTTTTTTGGGAACCAACAGGAGCTGCAGAGCCTGACACAGCCAGCACAGGACACTGAGCAAAATATTTCATTAATGTGGGACTGCTGCTGGTGCTGCAAGCTGAGAGCCTCAGCTGCCCCCTAACCTGACTTACCCCTCAAAGCCATGGTGGTTGGGCTTGTCTGCTTTTTATAGAGCTCTCCTTCCTCTCACTTTGTGAAACCATGCCATCTTTTGCACTTATTCCTTAATCCATGCAGGAGCACACATCCAGCCTCAGAACACACTTGTCTTCACAGCTGACAAAGTCAATTACACTTTGGGTTTGTTTGGCAATTTTAGCAACTGCCTCTCTTCCATTTCTTCAAATGGACCATCATGACGACTAAGCTTTGGTTTACACCAGGAAGAGAAGCTACAGAGATCTCCTATTTCCCTGCATCCTGCCTGGATACCATTTCCCAAAGACTTGTTTGTCTGGGGAAAAGTGCAGCAAGGCACTGCTGCAATAGAAAAGCCCACCATGTTATGTGATGGGAAAACTTTGGGGAATTTCGTGAAGTAACCATGTGGGAAAGCTGAAGGTTTCAACACAATGCCTATAATTCCAGTCATTTTGTGAAAACATCCAAGCATTTATTCTAAATAAAAGCAAATACCTACTCTAGACTTAAAAATACTCCATCTTTAAACTTCAATACTTTATGTGCCTATGACAGATTTTAAGATTATATGACTTGCCAAGTAACATAGACCTTGTCTTCATCACACCACACCTGGTTTTCTGTACTAGCAGATGTCATGCAAATATCAAAACATATGTATCAGGAGGAGAATCTAAAATGCCACCAGTAGAAAGATCAGCATAGCTGAGTTCATGAGCTGGAAACAAGAAAAATCTATCTCCAGAGCTACTTTCTTGCAAAAAAGCCCTCACAATGTGTAAGGACAGTGCTCACAGAGATGTCTGTATCACCCTACTCTATCTGAACTTAAAAAAAATCTGCATTTAATGAGAGGAGTAATCATAGAGTGGTCTGTTTTGCTCTAGTTACTTGGAAGGTATTTGTAAGTGAAACACAGCATGTCTAATTGAGGATGAAGGAGAAAATGGGGATTTCCTTCTGCTGTTAACAATGTTAAGCACAGGACAAGAAACAGAAGACATAGGGAAAACTTGACCTTCTACAGAGGAACATTTCTCCTCCTAAATCCTCCAGTTCCTAATTCAGGCATTGTCAATGCTGTTACCTTGAAATTCTTCACACAGCTTTGCATGGCACTCACTGCTTTGTAGTCCTGCTTCTGGTTTTGCCATCCCTCACCATTATTTCATTCCTGTGTTGTTTCAACCCTTCTCACTCAAATTTTTTCCTGCTATATTGTAAAACTGAAAAGCCCCAAATGGAACAGTTTGATGGAAGAAGCCAAGAAACCAGCTTGTGTGAGCTTAGATGGAGAGGAGCAGAACCTGCAGCATCTCTGCAAATAATGTCCCTGGCAAGGAGTGAATACAGCTTCAGAGACTCTGGCTCCTTTGCTATTCCCTAATAAATATATGAGAAGCACAGGCAGAACATACAGAACAGAATTGATGATTGAACAAGCAAACAAAGCATCATTTACATTTCTGAGTCTACAAATCTGGTCGAGCACTGGAGCAAGTGAAGCCCATAAACAAAGCTATTCACAGGGAGCAGGGCAGAGAAAAGAAAGGTGGAAATTTTGCTGTGTTGTTAGGAAGAAAGGACGTAGAAGATACACACTCTTGCCAGGAGTTAACACAAGGCCAGCCATGAACTGTTGTGACTTGTGGCAGAATAGAGGCCTTGAACTAGAAGTTAGGCAGCAAAATACATTATGGACCCAAGAGCTCACACATCAACACATAACTTGGAGTTGTTAAAAGTTCCTTAATTAAAGGCACATTTGTGGCTCACTTACTCCAGCCAACAGGAGAGGTTCTGGTTTGTAAAGCAGACAGGCGAGATCCAACCCAGGAAAAGGCATGCAGAGATTAACCTGCAAGGAAAAAAATCATGCTTTGAGCACAGACCCTTGCACACAACAAGGTGAAGGACCAGCAGCTGGCTCAGAGTGGAGGTGCTGCTGTAGAAAGCACAATTGCACAAGGAAATAAAAAAAGCAAGGTGTAAAATCCAGTGCTGCCCACGAGCAACAGGGACAGGGAGCCTAAATGTCCTCCTCTGGTCAGAAAGGGCAAAGTCTCCATGCTGGAAAGGATAGGAAAATTTAAAAGCATGTGACTGGGGCAGAGTGAAGGTCCATGTTCCTCCACACTGTGCCCAAATATCAGGCAAACAGCAGGAAAGAAAAATCCAGAGCACCTCAAAAAAGCAGAAAGGTAGTTAAGGTAGACAGTCCTACTTTATTCCTTGTCTTCTACTAATATAATTTTAAGTCTTACTGTTTAATTTTGGAACACAACGGTGGTTCTGGATAAGACACTGAATCAGGTCTATGGTTTAATTTCTTATCTTTTCTATTGTCTTGCAACACGATGTTGGCAGATTATTTTCTTTGCATCGCTACTTCACCTCCTAAATTTGGCTATTCTTGAATACTTAGATAAGAGAAATTTCCTGTCTTGGAGAAACTCCCATGAGTTTTTTCAATGCCTGGTATAATGTGACCTTAACCCTAACTTATGCCTCAAGGTGCTATTAAATTTGAAAATGGCCACTTACACATTTTACAATGCCTAAATGAATCCACTGCTGCAGAGGGAGCTTCACATTAATGTAGAAAAAGCAGGTCATTTTACCAAAAAAACATTATTTGTAAACCAGGCAGAACCAGTCAGCTGATGGAAGAGAACACTCCAGCATGGGGACTACCATGACACACCCTGCAGGACTGGTTTCATGGTGTGTGGACACAAATTCAGTCCCTGAATCCACAGCACTGTCTGAGCTTTGCCAGTGACTGCTTTGTTTCATGTTGTGGTGGTTTCTTGTGACCCTCTGCATGAGTGAGGCTCCAAAGTGCCTTTTGAAACAGCAACCTAACGACTAAAAAGAAAAATGCTTTCAAAATATAAGTCTCATTGTATAAATCTTGGCCCAAATCTTTATATATATCTATTAATATATATATATGTATATGTGTGTGTGTGTTTGTGTGTGTGTGTGTGTGTGTGTGTGTGTGTGTGCATTTCTGTCAGTGGTAATTATTTTTTTTCCACAGAACTGTAGGAGATAAGGTGCCAAGTATGAAAGAGAGAGGAAGGCAGCTGGGTTCAAAGCAGGGGGATCTTTGTGTCCATCAGAAAGCAGAGCTGGTGGCACTTCTGCAGCTTCAGTTGCCTTGGTGGAGACCACCTAACAAAGGTTTACAGTAGCACTTCAAAATACCACCATGGAGACAGGAAGATGGTGAGGAAATAAATA